ATTTTTATTATACAATGCCTTTGACCAAAACCAAGACTTGCTTTTATTGTATAAAAGTTAAATGCCAAAAACATGTTTGTGAAATTTATTATCTCTTTATTACAAGTAGAATTTGTTATCGTGAACAACATTAACTACTTGCCAAAAGTTTAACTTATATTAATATGTAAAAACTTTAAATCTAAAATTTCTGAATTGCAAATCAAGCTGACGCGGAGATGATGAAAAAAAAAATAATATATATATACTGACGCCCGAACACTTCGAACAGCCTGACCCCTTATCAGTTGACTCACGAAGTGGGGAAGTTCTCGCCTCCAAGCCTAGAAAGTCTTCGTAAATTTTTACGCAAAGAAATCCGGAGCTAGTAAAAAGTAATACGAATTTAGACTCCGGAATTTACACTACATGGAATCCCTAAACCCTCTCTGGATAAAGTAAATTCCCAAATTTCAGTTAGAGAATAGAAGCGATGGGACATAACCTCAAAACTTTGTCGCGGGAAGTTATTTAGGTTTACCAGCAATCGCGTTTTCTTTACTTATCCATTCGATTATCGTTATTCTATTACAACTATAATTCAAGCATACGTCCGTTTTCGGTCCCGTTTATATTAACACCGGAAAACACATTTTCCTGCATATGTAATAGCCTCTTTTCATAAATGAGAGATAATGGCTCCATTCTTTTTCGGAGCATCACGTAAGTCTTTAATATGGTTTTTAGGCCATTTTATGGCCGACTTTTGTGATTCTTCATCAATTTTCTTTTCTCGCAATACGGCAATAAAGTTAAAAGAATATCAGGAAGAGAACTTTATATTTACACGAGCATTACTGAAATCAATGATTCAATACCAGCTGTTAATCGGAATGATAAAGCCATTCTCGTCGACATAGGGCACACGATATATTATTTACCCGAGTCCTTGCAAGAAATTAAACCTGAAGATATTATAATAAATATATATGAGATTATCCGAATATGAATAACCTATTGCAGTTAAAGTATTTCCTTGGCCTACCCACTTTAGTAACTAAAAGTGGTGCATATAATGTAGGGCCCCAAATATTGCATGCAAATCATGCAAATCATCCATAAATTGATGAAATTTCCCCACAATATTCTTATCCTTAATGTCTGCTTGATCGTTATTGTTTGCACTCTCACTCATTAAATGCTCGCTTATTGCAACCATGTCCACTTTTCTCTATGTACTTACTACAGCTGTTTATGGCGTCGTTAACTGGCTGTCTTTTGAAGCACTTGTTCTTCCCAAATGGTTGGTACTGGGTGATTCGGACACTCAGCGAGTGTATAATGATACACTAACACGTTATTTTAATAGGTTGGTCTATGAATCTGCTCGGCCATACAGGGCAACAACGTTCTATGGTCTATTCCAGGTAATTATTTACATTACTCTCTTAAACAAAGTATACACATTTGCATATTAACTAGAGCCGGTTGCATGGGAGGAAGGAAGTACTCGGAGCCGCTAATGAGCACCCGCTAACAGCAGTCTGGCTGTCCCGTTTCCATTACTTCCATGATAGACCGTTTATGTATTCTACATACTGTAGTAAATCTTATTGACCGATCATTAATCAATTCACACGTTCTCTCCCCTTCGTCCCACTAGAAATGCTCTTCGTTAGAAGTTAGTTGCCGTCCCTTTCCGTTGGAAGAGTATGGTGACTGTGAAGAAGAGTATTTCTGCGAGACCTGGAAAGCTGCAAGATTTGGACAAAGGATGGCATTTGGTATCGGTATTATAGCTTTCCTTGCCTTTTTCCCGATAATATTTGGAGTGTTCGACAGGGTAAAAGCGTGGCAATTTCTCTTGTATCCGGTGTTTGCTCAGTGTAAGGAATCAATGCAAGGGATACCACACAAAGTTTATAGCCTTTGACAGTTTGCACGCGTTTATCTTTTTGCTTACCCAACTACTTTTTGGTATTTGAAAGGGTTTCTGCAAGCTTTAGTTTCCATATTAATCATACATGAACGCGACAGCTCGAGCACATTCCATTACGGCATTAAGTACGGCAGCGCCTTCTTCTTCAATATCATTTCATTGGGAGTCGGCTTAATTGCGTTATTTCTGTTAGGACTTACTGGGTTTATTCTTAACCGGCAGAGAGATGGCTACATGTCTTTGGGATGAGCGAATTGCCACAGGGAGAGATGTATATTTATATTCTAGCATTATTTTACTATTTACGATTAATTCTTTTTATCGTTTTTTATAAACACAAGGCTTTAATAATTTTGAGGCATCTGATAATTTTGACTTTTTGGCACCAATTGGTTTCGATTTAACGAAATCAAACTGGATGAACATTTTATTCTTATCATCCTAAATCGATAATAAATAAATCATGTACCATCTTCTAATCAACGCTACGAACAGAAAAAAAAGAAGAAAAAACTCACCTTTCTAACTAGTCTGAATCCAACTTCACTTAGTAATGCAACAAATGCGTCAATATCCGTAAAACGACTAATCACTTCTGCGATTTTCAGTTCCCCGCTTTCGAAATAAAAAAGCAATTGGATCTTAGTTATTGGTACGGATAACAAAACAGGAAACCTACTGTCCGCACTCGCCAAGGACTTACTCTTTTTTTAATATTCGATAAGCTTCTCTGATAAAATCGATATAGTTCGTTCCCATAAGCGACAAACAGAGTATTGCAACATCGAAAAGCTCACCGGGCATTGGTAGCTACGTTAATTAAAAAAGTACGGTTATTTGCAACGATCTTAGATCCCCCCCAGTCCTTTCTCTCGTGTATTTCTCGCCGTAACGTACCTTACCGATATCGCACTTAACAATCCTATCACCACCGCTCAAATCAAATGACACGACTTTACATTGAACATTTTCTGCTATCTTTCCTTCTCCGCATCCTAAATCAGCCACAACAGTATCTTTTGGCTTGCTTTGCAAATACTCAATCATCACGTCGACAGGATTTACCGGCCATGCCTCCACAGCTGACCGGAAACCCTCGTGGTACTCGGCGAACAGTGATGGAGTTGATGCAAATAGTTCATATGCTGTTGTACTTGTTGACGTGTATAGCTTTTCGTTTATCCAGCGAAAGCGTGAGGTCGTTAGCGATTTTTTTGAATTAGCAGCATATGATTTAGATTGTATGTTTGAAGTGCTTGCAGATACAGCTGAAGGAATAGAAGAAGCTTGCTGAGTAGTTGATATATGATGGTGCTTTTGAATGTTGGCATCCGAGCCATTGAACAATTCCTGGTTGGGTGGTTTGCCTTTCTGTATCTTGAAAAGAATCAAAGATCAGCTCAATTGACACAAAAAGTGAGCAAACATAGTTTCTTGAAATACCTTTTTTCTCTTTTTGGATTCTGATGTTGCAACTTTACTATTACTTGAACTAGCATCGTTGTCTGTTATTTGCTCCTTTATCTGCAGATGTCCATAAACAGAATCAGCATCTTTTACCAGTTCGCTCTTGTCTTCACTTTCAGCCGAGACCACGCTATGTTTTTCTACAACACCTTTCTTATTCCTTTTCCTCGATTTTTTGTTTTCTCTCTGTCCGGCCCCAATCTCACTCTCGCCTCCTATTCCCATGCGCTTTTTCCTGTTTTTCAACTCTTTGAAACTATTCACAATTTTTTCAACTTCTTCCGATAGCTGTCTTTCCGAGTCGTGAGGTTTCTTCGATTCACTAGTCTCACTCTTGCCGTTATCTTTAATGGAGCCCTTGCTTTGTTTTTCTACAACACCCTTCTCATTGGTCTTTCTCAATTTTTTGTTTGTCCTCTGTTCGGCCTCGTTTCCGTCCCCGCTTCCTATGTCTATGCGTTCCTTTCCAGTTTTCAGCTTTTCGATATTATTCTTGATTTTTTCAACGGTTTCTAACATACGTCTCTCTCTTTTACGTGATTTCTTGGATTTACCCTTTTCGGCAACTACTTCCCCAAGATTCCAGCCTGGAGTTTCAAAGAGGGTGCGGTGTTGAGAGGACATTGGAGGAAAATAAAAAATTTAAAGATGATAGAGCTCTGACAATGATCTGAAATAATTTACAATCAGTTGTCGGTGTCGGTGTGTCGATCCAAGCAGAATGCAGGTACCGTTTTAAGATCATAATGTTTTGCTGATCACGGGAAAAAGTTTCCTTTGATATCAAAAAGATATAGCGCGAAGTATATTTCTCCCAAAAGTGTGAAAGTAGAATCGAAATAGTATATTTATACGATGGTGAATTTATATATTTGCTTGCTCATTCAGCCACGCCCAAGCAATCCGTAAACGCACTCAACTCTTTCATGTTAATTAAAATACTCTATAACCTAGCTACCTCTTTCACTCCTAACTACAGCCCAGGGACATCCTATGGTAATTCTTTCATGTATATACTCTTGCTGTTTATTGAACAATATTTATGGCACGGCTTTTCTTCTTCTTTCTTCTAGTACTTGTTGTATAAATATCACTTGTGCTAACCATTGCTTTCGAACGTGATCTGGCAAAGCATAGCTTGTTGAGTTGAAAAATGGAGAAACGTTCAATGGACATTTAGTCAATTGTGACAATTGGATGAATTTGACGTTGCGAGAAGTCATACAGACATCGCCGGTATGTAGGAGTTGACATGAAGGATGGATTGTGAAACTGCATGTAGAGGGAGGGGAGATGACTAGAGACATTGTTTTCTCACAGTTGAAGCCGCTTGTTTGATGATGCGTGTTTGTAGGAAGGTGATAGGTTTTGGCGATTATCAGAATGTTATATACGAGGAAATACGGTAAACTGTCTGTTTTAGATTAATGGCTCGTTATGATTTTATATTAATCAAGTTTTCACATTCAATCATAAAGATCAAATACCTTCGGGTCCCTGACGAGGTAACAGCATTTACATCAAACCCCATACCGTTGTATATTAATAGCTTACCAAGATTTTCGTGGATCTTTAAATGTATCAATTTGTCGCTGCTTTTAGATTATTGAGATGGTAAGAGAGGACGCAGCGAGACGGCAAGCCAGTGGCGGTAATCGTGGAGGGCGTAAGCACAGTCTTTGTTAACCATTTGCCCGTTAATTATTGTTTTTCTTTAGCTAATTCGCTATCTTATACTTACAGGTGGTCAACGTGGTTCAGGGCGAGGTAGGCAACAGCAGTTTAGATGCTCCTAAGTGATCCCAACAATATCCGCATAAATTCCTTGATAGAGTATTCACGCTGTATACATAATTCTCTTTGTCGTAGGTGGAGGAAGAGGTTCCTCTTCTCGTGGTGGACGGGGTAAGTATTTTCAAGAGTCAAGTTACTAATTGGGACTTTTTTTACTTGAGATTCTTAAAATATCATATTAATATCTACTTTTGCTGTATGCAGGTGGGATGAGAGGTGGAGGCGATAGATCACGTCGTTCTTGATGACACTTATCACATAAATTGCTTCTCTTTTAATTTGATTACTATATGCTTAATTCAATTACACAGATTCTAAACATTTATTCTTTTCAATTCCTTCTCACGACATACAAAATTCACCCGCCCACTCAATACTTCTTCCTTGTTTGCCTAAATGTCCCAGTAACATACTCAACCGATCAGTCGCAACACCCTCTAGATACTTTTCTTCTAGCGTTTTTTCGTCCTCCCTGTTATTCCAGCGGGAGGGACAGAACAATTTAGTGAAATTCCATTCAGACGAGGGGGAGGGTTTACATGTAGATGCTATGGCATGATCGAGCAATTGAGAGAGGAATTGGTCCAATAAATACAAGTGCGCTGAGTAGAGATCACCATATAGAATATCAGAAGTGGTATCTGCAGACAAGAACGCTTTAAATTCTTCCGTCAACGTTGCCGAAGAGTCTAGGGAAAGGAATTCATCTGCAAAAGTCGTTCCATTGTTTTCGCTTCTGGCAGATATCCTCTTATTAACATTATGATTAATATTTACGTTGGCATAATTATGTCTTATTTTATCCAAGCCATTTTGTTGTATATACAAGTGCGTAAAACTTTCATTACTCCACTCTTGTCTAAATTCATCTTCGTCGTTATCGTTTGTGCAAGTTGTCTCGCGAAATTGTTGCCAGTCCTGTGTAAAATTATTCCATGAGGACTCGAAGCAGTCTGTTGAATCGGGAGAAGAGTATGTACGGAAGGAAGATAACTGCGAGTGTGTTTCGTCTGTTGTGAAGAATGGTGAGGTTGATTGCCAAGCGGAGTCTTGAAAGAGTGTGGTAAGTTGAGTTATAGGATTACTTGTGCAAGAAACTAGAGTTGACATGGCTTTAGATTATCAATATGAAGCGAATGTATTTAATGATGTGTTATCGCGTACTACATAAAGTACGATTCGAAAATTATAAAAAATAATTATGATTATTGGATAGAGCGAGTTAGAGTGAACAAAGATTGATTTTTTTCAATATGCATATAATTTCCATAACCGTAATTTATAACGGTGGTGTCCGCTTATCTATCAGATTATCATTTCCATCTCTAGCCTGCCATTCCAACAACGTTACACCGAACCTTCTTTTGTTATGACAACCAACTACTTATGGCCTGAACAAATCGGTTAACAGGCTCTCCTGCAGGCTGTACATTTGCCACTAACTTAACCTTTTGCATGGATACCTGTTTAGGTTCGGAAGCCTTCCGCCGCATCATTTCCTTATACTCTGATTCTACTAAACGCCAATCATTCAAGATATCAAGCATGTTCTCTTTTGTACAGTTTACAAGAGCATACGCTAAAAGTGTCTTTCTGTTATCGAGATCAGGTATTTCTTTCTTCCTGCCAACATCCAAACACACACGCCATGTAACATCTTTCATTGTTCTGAGCAGTGTTGGATTTTTCCGGCCTTCGATTGAATTCTCGAACGCTTTCGTCTCATTTATGATTACCATACAGACGTCAAATGCATATTTGTAATTTGCATTACGTAATGCAGCTTTAGCAACCGTTACATGTACCTTGAGTTCTGCAACCCTGTCCCCCCTGAATCCTAATTTACGCGCTAATTCGAGGACGTTGTCCAAATCCAGATAGCCCTTCACATCTGCTCGCAGTAATCGTTCAATCAAACTCAATCGATCTTTTTCATGGCGTATATGAATTGGACGAAGCGACACGTCAGGTTTATGACTTAATTTGCGTTCCATCAATTGTTCTGTAGCTTCAATAAAGTCCAATTCAGCTTGTGTTGCCGGTGATATCGGAACGATTTGTAGACTATGACGTGACGAAGACATATATAAATATGTAAGAATCACAAAAATTTTTGAGCGATATCTAATGTTTCATAATACTGACCATTCATAAGCCATTTTCATATAACCAGATCTCCTGCTGCCCGACGTTGCCTTGTCAAATAGTTCTCTCGATGACTCTATAACGATTTTTTCAATGAGACCAAGATCAAATATTGTTTCCTGATTCTCTGGTAATAAGATTTTGCGAGCATAATCAAATCCTACAGAAACAAAATTGGTCAAGGATAAAGAAGGGAATAGCAATAAGGAAATGAGCTTGAAAAAGGATACTGCCTCCATAAAGTAACCCGGATATAAAATCTTGCACTGCTTCCTTGGAAGGAATTTTATTTAAAACGTTTTTCTGTATTTTTAACATATCATCCAGCAATGTTGTCCAACCATTAATGGTAGCAAATCTTTCTCCATATCCCAAGCCATCATTATTGGATACTCGAGCCAACTGAATACATAACTTCTTCTGAAGATCCCTATCTTCCAAGCTACGAAAGAACCACTTCAACGGAACAGGTATATGATAGCGGGCAAGGGTCTTGGCAACATCCAGATGAATGTAAATATCGTTAATCAAAACCTGTATCTCAGACGCATTCCTAGTCTTCAAGTTGGAAAAAAGACTTTCTGTGTCAAGACGGCCCAAGTTTTTTTTATCTTCGATTCTCAAGTCTATATCCTCTGCCGTATCAAACGTTGGCAAATAATTAGTCATCCGAGTAATAATGTCCCACTGATCAGTGCGTTCGTTCCCATATGCGCATGACAAGATTAATCTAGCCAAATCCATACTCGAAGAAATTATTTTCTGATCTTCTGCAAGAGTGACTGCCGATGCTTCAAATAGGCGGCAACATACTCCCAACCGCTCGGTCGATGATTGAAGTATATATTTATACAAAAGCTCCATCGGCTCACATTGAGAAGCAGAAAGAGCGTGATCGCATATAACGCTGTTAGATTGACTACTAATACGAGCACGACGAGCCGGTAATAAATCAAGGTATGGTAGAATAAACTTTTGTACATCATTTACGACACGACTTTCATCAGTATGTCGGAGAAATATTTCCACTATTCCCGATTCGGATAATGCTTCGAATTCGTGAAGTGTTGTGCGTGTACTTACTGATTCCAGTGAAGGATAACATTCGTATACTAACTTGTACAGCATATCAAGATTTTCTTCGAGAGTCTCCAAGCCTTGAACGTTCTTGCTTATGCCATATCGCACCAATTGCAATGCTTTATCAACCTGGCCAGACATGTTGTCTATCACGTGTGCTCTTTTATAATACCATTGCGTTATAAAGGAAGATTTAGCTGGATAAGAAACAGGCTTCAACCAGATGCCATCAAATTCTCTTTCGGCAGGTTCTTCATTTACGAATTGTTGTTTCAATATCGGATTCTCGACCCAGTCAGGTTCTCGCCATGGTTGTTCATTCCACAAACATTCTTCTGCTTCTTCACCATCTATGGAGCTAACCCTCGATAGAAAGACTTCATATGCACTCGGATCAGCAGTTTCAGGTATCTGTTCCAGAATTGTATATCTGTATGGTAGAGTCTCGGGTCCATGCCGTGTGAACAGAATTAATAACCCTTCGAAAAATTCATCTGCAGCATAGTCCATGGCCTGTGCTGCAATATCAATGTCACGGAATATCGCATAGTCCTCTGCAAAAGTCGATGAATAGTCTACAAAAGGTGTCCATCCGCCTATATCGAAAGCGCCATACATAAGTCCGAGAGCCATATCGCGTCTTGATTTGGCATTTGTGATATCTTCAAATGTACGCAGTCTATCCAAGTAATGCAGAAAATAATGCCTATATCGACACATGTTTCTCTGGTCTTCAGATAATGGTAGATTTCTGAGAGTCCCTTCTAAAGTCGAGTCGCATTCAAGAGGAGTTTTTCTTAGTTTTAATGCCAAATCTTTATGGGCTACATTTGCAAGAATATCATCTAAAATGTCTGTTTGTTTCAATCCGTATGCCAACAATAACCGAATCATTTCAGCACATGCCGGTAAGGGAGCAGTTGGTATTCTATCGAGACAATTCGTGATTACCCATTCACGGTTGTGTATTTTGTCGAGACATTCATGAATAGAATCATCCGATATTTCCGTATCTCGCCAACGCGCTTGATAAACTATATCTGTATCAAGATTGTATGTCTCTGCAATAGCCAAAGCCGTATCGTATTCAAGTGTATTAATCTTGCGATATAACAGCTCTTGTGGCTGAATTTTAGTGATACGATTTAGCCTAAACGTTCGCTTTGGTATTGTTATAAATTTACCCCGAATAGATGAGGAATCACTTTCGAAATGCCACAAGAGTGTATCAGTTACATAATGTAAAGAATTGCCAATTGCCGATGCTATCCGCTGTAAACGTGATTCTGTATCATTTCCATCGATTAAATCACCTTCCTCTTGGGCTCTTGAGTAAGATACTATATTTTCCCCATGCACGCGGGCTCGAATGGCTTTTATCTCGTGTTCAATCACCAAAACACGGTTCTCAATGCGATTTGTTATCTCTCTACAAGACTTGAATATCTCGGGAGTATCACCAAGAATGTTTTTTGCTTTGAAAAAACTAAATATGATGACCGAACCATGTTGATAGCCTAGTATTATAGAATCGGTTGACCACCAAGCAATCGAAACAACTTTTCCGTTATCAATCCCAACAATCCCACGAATATCACCCTCGCCTTCTTCTAGCTCTCTTAGCCCTGATGTAAATTCATTAAAAGATAAGTTTTTGAATTTCTTATCTCTTGCAAAGTAATTAAGTTGCGGTTGATTCCACGAGTATTCTACAATTGTATTCTTGTAATCCGAAGATATAACCCAAACTTTTACACATCCAGCAAAATCAACTGTCAAGAGCCGATCATTATCAGGTGATAAAGACATAGAATGCACTACTTCATTAGTATAATTCTCATATATTTTTCGCAACGTTGAAAATATATTCCTAATACGAGAAAGGATTCCAATGTTCCCAACTTCTCCCTGATCACGATAGGAAATCTCATCAAACAAGACATCTGATGTTCCTTCCAAACCCAGTTTTCTATAATACGGCCTTTCTGGCAATATCACCCAACAACCGACAGATGGATTCAATTCACCATCCTCCTTGTCATTAGCAACTGGTTTTCCACCCAGCCATAGCAAACCTCTTTTAGTATCGACTGCCCCACATGTCACCGTTGTGAGCCAAGCGCGGAAAGAACATTTGTGGTAAAACACAAAGAACCCAGGATCTGGAGAATCTTCCCGCGAATAAGTCACTCCTGGTTGAAGATCTCTTGCACTTGCCTCATCAACATCGACTGTGGTGGTTGTCGTTGTATTCAACAAATAACTTCGCAATATACCATCATATGTTACAACTATCAGTTCGTAATAATACTCGTACCCGTCCACCGCTGGTACTCGCACTGATCCCCTCCGTGGATCAATAAAGGCCAAGAATGCCACTGGCTCCAGGAAAATACTCGACGCGCTCTGTTCATCATCAGTGTCTTGATTCGTTTGATTCACATGACCCCCGTTGTTATTTGGCTTTAATCCAGGTACTATACTAGAGATTGCCTTTGCATTGGGCGTAATGATATCGATTGAACCATCGCTTTTGGAGACTGCAAGAATTTTCGAATCCAAACTCCAAGCAACCCTTCTCCATGCGGGAAAAGCGTCTCTTTTGGAAACATAGGACGCGTAGGGTACTTCGAATTCAGTTTCTTTTGCACGGATTTCTATCTGGCCTTCTTGAACTACCGCCAGATACTCTCCATTCGGAGATATTTCGAGACACCATTGACTTTTAACTGTCGGCCGGGCTTGCACTAGCGCTGGGGGCACAGTGGTTGATATCGCTATTCCCTCGAGACTTCGTGCAAGTCTGTGAGTAACTTGGCGAAAAACCCGCTTGGGAAGTTGAGAATAAAGGCGATCTTGGGTCACAGCAGGAGGCAGAGACGCTGGAGAGGGGAATTGATCAGTAGGCGGTTGGTCGTCCGGCTTGTAGACGGCCAGTACGTCAACATCGTAAAGGATATGGTCTGGAAGGGATTTGGAAGATAGGGACATACAGTTGAAGAAAAGGACCGGGAAGAGAATTTACTCTTTGTTTGATACCCACACTAACGCTATATTTGGCCAAGTTTATCTATATACGTAAAGTTAATTCTGGGTAACGCCTATGCAGATCTTGAATTAAATCATAATTGTGTACCTTACCAAATTAAAAGTTCTTTAAAATGGTGATACGATTCATTCTTTGTCTCACGTATTGTCCAAAAACTTTATTTGATGACTGATAATGATCGATTTATTAATACATATTAATATGTATGCCCGCGTGAATGAGACACAACGTGTGTGTTTTTAATATTACATGATTACATTAATGAATAAATATTGCAATATGATGTTTGCAAAACTAAACCGCTAAGAAAATAAAATTTCAGTCTGGAATAATAATGTATTCAATATTGGGAGCTGGCCCTAAAGAATGTTATTTGTTCCGTAGTGATTTTAAAATATGAGTAATAAAAAATATATAGAATTACCACATTCTATGAACGTAAATTGTTGATTTATTATGCCTTTTCTGCAATTGGGTAGCCTCTCTTTTCTGCAATTGGGTAGCCTCTCTTTTCCGCAATGGGGTAACCTCTCTTTTCCGCAATGGGGTAACCTCTCTTTTCCGCAATGGGGTAACCTCTCTTTTCCGCAATGGGATAACCTCGTTCTGCGATTGGATAACCTCTCTTTTCGTTATCTCTCTCTGCAATGGGGTAACCTCGTTCTGCGATTGGATAACCTCTCTTTTCGCTATCTCTCTCTGCAATGGGGTAACCTCGTTCTGCGATTGGATAACCTCTCTTTTCGTTATCTCTCTCTGCAATGGGGTAGCCTCGCTCCGCAATTGGATAGCCTCGCTCCGCAATTGGATAACCTCGCTCCGCAATTGGATAACCTCGTTCTGCGATTGGATAACCTCTCTTTTCGTTATCTCTTTCCGCAATGGGATAGCCTCGCTCTGCGATGGGGTAACCTCGTTCTGCGATTGGATAACCACGTTCAGCAATTGGATAACCTCGCTCTGCGATGGGGTAACCGCGTTCAGCAATTGGATAACCTCGCTCTGCAATTGGATAACCTCGTTCAGCAATTGGGTAACCACGTTCAGCAATTGGATAACCTCGCTCTGCAATTGGGTAACCACGTTCAGCAATTGGATAACCACGTTCAGCGATTGGGTAACCACGTTCAGCAATTGGATAACCTCGCTCTGCGATGGGGTAACCTCGTTCAGCAATTGGATAACCACGTTCAGCAATTGGGTAGCCTCGTTCAGCAATTGGGTAGCCTCGTTCAGCAATTGGATAACCACGCTCAGCGATCGGGTAACCACGTTCAGCAATTGGGTAACCTCTTTCTTCTTCTGCCGCAACAGAGTTCACTCTCAAAAGCGCGATTGTAAGGAGGGGGAGGAGCAAAACTTTAGTGAGCTTCATGTCTACAAATTAGGCGTTAAACAAATCAATGGGTTTGCAGTAAGGATATTTCTCTTGGTATGCAGTCTTGAGTCATTTGGCATACAACAGCAACTTCTTATATATCCATCTGTCATGACCAAGTTTTTGGTATCCGTGGCGACTCCATTTTCGTAATCTCCATTTGGCACATGGAATTAAGGAAGCCTTGCATGTGTTCACCTAAACTCATTCGTTAATCCAACATATGAAATATTTGTAACTGTTTTTATACATGTGAAACTCTATTTTTATTTTTATACTATCTCGACTATGGTAAACCCCGTGTTTTTTATGGTAAATTACTCGGGAATACGCTGTAGACAGAATCCTAAACAAATCTGTACTAGGCATGTAAAACTATATTGCTAATCAATGTCGTTTATGGAAACTTATATGCTCCACTATCACATGTTTTTCATTATCTATCAACCTTAACCATCTCCCTTTGGAAAGCAGAACCCATACCTGATACATAATCTCAATTTGTTCACACCGCGGCCTCCCATAAATCAAAATGTGATTGATTTGGTCATTAATATTGACCTGAAAACAGACGATCTTCACCATATCTTGCTACCATAATACGGATAAAATTCTCTAAATGCACATCTTTCTACTAATAATTTTTTCGGAGCCGTCCATATAAACTATTATCCCTAAATGCACGTAATCAATATTTGTATTGGCTATTTCTTCGAAATTTACATTATTGTTCTGACGAAGGTATCGTGCATGATATTCTGGATCTGATTAGGGAAATCGCGGAGACGAAATTCTTGAAGGGAATGCGGAATAAATGGATTATGTACTGTTAGCACCAATAGGGAATTAAAAAGTTAGAAAATGTATGCTTATTTTTGTTATGCAAGGCACAGATAAAACTGTAAACAGTAAAGTAGCACGTGCTACCGAACCGTAACGAAAAGTAACACGGACGATTATAATTTTATTCCAAAGGCTACCCTCCAACGTTTTACCTAATTAAAATATACCTATTTCTACTTGATATACAGTCGTTTTCCAAGATATCGGATCCCGCATAAAAAACCGAAAATAGTAGGTAGACTAATACTAATTACTGTTCAAAATGTTTTGGCTAGAGATGATGATCCCTAAATTTCGACCTATTACTACATACAGTCTAGTCTCTCTAAATGCACTTCGGGACTTAGTACTAAATGCACACTCTCTATATTCTGCAATTTCGTATTCCTGGCTATATGAGAATAATTTCGTAAATGCACACACAGACATTGGGCATTAATATAATCTTGAAAAATATATCTGAGAAAAAAAAAAGTTAGCGATAGATCTATAATATAATGCACCAATAAATATATCATAAATACAGACTCTTTCTTATACATTATTAATAGCTACGTAAATTTATAGTAATATTCCATAATGCGCGATATCTATATACAAGTGAGTCTCGATATAACGACACTGCTTATATAACGACATCTCGTTATAACGACAGGAATCTTAGAACGAAAATTTTATATTGCTTAATTGTCGTATATAAGTTAATTCTCGATATAAGGACATTCTCGATATAAGGACATTCTCGATATAATGACCATTTGGATTGGAACCGAGCATGTCGTTATATCAAGCCCCACTTGTACTCTCTCAATGCACGCCCTCAACTCTCAATCCCGAATTTAGAGAGACTAGATTGTACGTATAGATGTGGCAGTGACACAAGTCGGTATAATACCCGCAGTAAACAATTTGCTAGTGACATCGCGATTAGATAAACGGCGCGACATTCTGATAGAATTCAACATGTTCACATAATGTTCCTTTAATGACCAAGTAATATCCCTTTCTAATAAACGAGTAGTTTTTTATATTTTGAAATACATTATTCATTACGTAAATTATTCGATATAGTTATGAACCACTAATCCCCATATCAATTAGGAATATCCACCTCTTGTCCCGTGGATATTCTCGTAACATTATGGTTGTTATTCGCTCAAGTGGAAATACATTTTAGATAAATCCCAACCTATAGAAAGAATATTATTTTGTTTCACGTATTGATTTTTTGATTTCTTTAAAATAACTAAACTCATCACGTTTATTTTCATTATATTCGTTTTCCGAATTAATCCCATTGGAAGGGAATAGTTGACCGTCTGGGATTAGTGTCTACCGATCGACACAAGGCCGTGAGTAGTAATAGTAAAGCCGAGTTTACAGGTCACCAACTGTCATCATATTTAACTAAAAGTAGGAAAAGCCACAGTTTTGCTCAAAACTAGCTAAATTCCAAGGGTTGACAATCGACTGCTCTCCCGCGATTGTTGGCTCGACCGCAACAAAAATTTACCTTGCGATTGCCTTTTTTGTTTCATAATAGTTTGCCGTCAAACTTCATGACTACAAGAGGTGGAATACCGTTATTTATAACAAAGACAAACAATTATGAAAGCCTCACAAAAAGTTTACTTATACTGTATAAAAGTACTATTACTATATCCCGAATGTTATCCACCATGAAGTCACATCGAGAATGTGCAGCTTCCCTTCTACTAAACGGCATTTATTTTGCGCTTGATGAAAATATAAGCCGAAATAAGAAATGCTATGAACATGATAGCTTTGACAAAGAGAAATTAAAATAAAACAAGAAAAAGATAGCATTTACGAAGTAACAAACTTTATCAATCTGTGATTGATGTAACTAAACATATCTATATCTATATCTTTTGCCCCTTTTGCTTCGGTATAATTATTGATACACTTTTTCGCTTGCATTCACGAAAATTTATTATGGATGTTAATATTAAATGCGCACATATCAATAATGGTGATCTGTACTATCTTAGGATAAAGGCTCAATATATTATGTACCCGTGTACCTCAGACCACTATATATGTCCATCCTTGTAGATCTAGTCTCAGGGCTGATGTCTGAGATCTGAGGTGTAACTTTTGTACCTGTAATTATGACTATCGCCAAAAATTATCGGGTTTCCGAGGTTATTCCAACAGCTATTCTCCCTAAATGCATGCAATTACCTGGCCTGGTCCCGATGGTGTGCTCTTGGAGAATTTTGTCTGTAAGGTATTTTTGCCATAGCGATGGAACGTGCACATTTAATGACAGACTGCTGAAATTTAGATGTTTATTGACTTTGGCGAATAGACCACACATTTACTTGTAGGTTTTTATTAAAACAAGTGAGCTTCTTGACTTTTATTCAAATCTCCTAACACGCAATTATCTACAGTCATAACTTTTTTTTTAACACGACATATTAATATCCAGCGCTAACACGTTCAACTATCCTTCTCTTCTTTATATTTTTGCTAAAATCGTATAATAAATGATAGCGGTTGACAAGGAGAAGAAATACAATATGAAAAAACAATTAATGTTGAGAGAGATGCAAATAAAACAATAAAAATACATAGGTAAACTCGATAAGCTGGACAAATTTTCTCGATGAGTCGGACAGCCAACAAGTCGTGTTCGACTTACCGAGTTTAACTAGTATTAGTAGAAGCGTTGTATTTTCCACGTATTCATTTTGTAACATTTCTTTATTTATTTAGCTCTTATTTCATGTTTCCTTTTTACAAATAAATTTTACGTTTTTATTTCAATTCGGTAATGCTCATATAGTCTGTCAAAGATGTTAGAAACATGATTATCAATCAAGTCTGTGAACTAAGATTCCATCGATTATCCAATAGAAGGATTTCAAAAAAGAATGAAAACAATGTGTTTTTAAAGGCGTTGATGAGCACGTTCTGGGCTGGTATTACCAACGAGGAATTTGAAAAAGAAATGTCCGAGCTAGAAGAAGGCTTACAGCATATGCGCGAAGAATTTGCAACGTAAGGACGTTGATGGATGCAAGATATAAAAAGAAGAGGTAAAAAACGAGTCAGAGAACGTAATCATCGTCACACACAATGATTAATGTACACGATACTCAGATGCAACAAGTATTTCGATATTTTGCACTATGATTAATAAAGTCAATATATACATTAAGCTATTGTAACTCATTATGCAAATTTGATGCAGTATCTGACATACCCAATTATCAAGAATAACAATTACTCTTGTGTTCGTAACTATTAATATGCAAAACTATCCATTCAATTTTCCATATTTGATGTATCTCGGCTTAGCAGCTGTCTTTCAAGTTGAACGATATTTATAGAGTTGGTTACAGGTTAGATAGTTCACATTATTATTAACAAAATCATCCTCCGTCTCTACAATTATCGTGTCCGAAAGTTTTATCCTGTTTAATGCATTGGATATTCGGTCGAATCTTTCTTAAAATTCATAAAATCACTAACGAAATCTTATTAATGTAATATCCATGGTTGTCCCATTGATGCATAGCTTGAAAAACGACAACCAATAAAGAGCTACTTTCTATAAATATGATAGCATAAAAATCTGCAAGAACCTGCATGATGCATAAACAATCGCTTTCGGAAATAGTAAAATGAATGATATAACAAGTGTCAATTAAAACAAGCATCTTGTTCACATGAATAATAATTTTTGGCCTGCTCATTAACGAACGATAAGCACATAAACGCCTTAATAATTGCAAATTGTCTTGCGAAGAACAATTTTGAGGAAGGTTCATTTCCATTTGTGGAGGGTTCAGTGACAAGTGTTTCTATTTCCCACAATAAATTACAAACCCACTTACAATAACATCAGACAAAATAACCACATTCTGCAGTAATCTAAGACTAATCGGACCCCAAAGCATGAAAAAATATATATTAATTGGAGGAAGACATTCAAACCTCGCAATACTTGTCAATTTAAAGAGTTAGATTGCAAGTTTAATCAACCGCTATTTTTGTAAACGCCAAGCATTGAGAGGCTTTTATTTTACTAACTGGGAATGGGGTAGGACTATTTTGCGCAAGGAAAACGTGTGCGAGTCAAGTACACGAAGTTGCCGGCTATTCTTTAACAAGTTATGCATATCATGGAATCTATCGTGATATACAATGGTATTTATAATTGGTCCACTTATTAACGTTATTAACAGAGAAATAACCTGTTGTTTTCTTGATAATGAATGCATTTGCTTATTCTTTTCTCCGAATATGGACTTTACAATCGTTTAGTGCAAATTTAATCAGCTGCTTAATATAGATCTCATCTGTGATTTGCTGCAATCATATTATCCAGGAAATGACGTTCTTTTGTAATGAACTTGCATCATGCTTCGAAGGGACCGTCGCTATCTGTTATCAGGCAATTTAGCGCAAGACACGCATATTAGATGTATATCCATGTGATCCGTACATAAAAATATGTATGGTAAATTTGTTCCACGGCCCAAGTCATTCTGGGGTTCGCGAATGTCGAGACTATCTGCTGTTCCGGTAAGTTAATTGACAATGATGACAAGTATATTCCCAATGTTGCTACATATACTTCCTCTGTGTGAGAATGTGTAATGTTGTGAAACGTTTGATAGTCTGTTAGCGGTAGGGTTTCGCGCTTTTGGATAGTCAAATATGTCAAAAATCATTTACGAGAATGATGTCATCAGCCTTTTTAATTAGTATTCGTGCTACATACTAATACATCAATACAAGGACACTTAAGAACAATAGCAAACGTTACCTAACCTATAATGAAAAGAGATGCACACACAAAATAAGCCCATTAAAATTGCTAAAAATGTCAAATCTTGTTTATTGCCATTGTGACAAACATTGTGCATACTCGTCACTGTCGTGAATTATTGTAGATCCTGCTGTGAGTGGCGAGTATAAACGACTGTTGGTGGATATTAATATGCTGTTGTGAATACAGGTCTGGTTTCTTTCACATATATTATTTGGGTTTATGAGGCCCGTTTCGAAAAAGGGTTGCTGCATTTCTCGATTTTCTATTCGTTCTTTATGGCAATATTCTAGCCATTTAAGGTATGGATTATCGTATTTTTGACGAAATCCGTGTTGGAACTTGCGCAATTTTTTCATTGTCATATTTAGTAGTATGCAGCCAACGCCATTTTGCACAAACATATAAAGACCCCCATACCGATTTGAAAAATGAACACTCAAACCATTAGATACTCTTCTAAACTTCCCATTTACAATAACAGTAATAGCATTTGTTGATCATTTCATACCTAATGTCTGAATTATTGACAGTTGGCAACCCAGTGTTCGTCAAGGACAGAGCAGAATTTGCGCACGTAGAGCGCTACCAACTTCAAACTCAGCAATGCGTACAACTTCAGCAGCCCCGAACTCAGCACTCAGAATCGCAGGAATATTGGGTGTTTGGCTACGGTTCACTCATCTGGAAGCCGCCTATTGCTTGGGAGAAGAGGTTGGTAGTAGATCTATATATTCTAGTTGCTTGTCTATTCATGATGTGTGTGGCTAACGTTGGTGATGTATCTTCTACAGAGTCCCAGGATATATAAAGGGATACGTGAGACGGTTCTGGCAGGCAAGCACACTGTTCAACATACGAGTTCAGACACTTTATTCTTATTCCGATCAAACTATTAACACTACAATCTCTATCTTTGACTATTTTCCGACCGTTCGTTTCCATCAACAGCATAGCGTTGATCACCGCGGCACGAGAGAGAACCCTGGTCGTGTAGTCACATTAGTATCACATTCTGAATGGAAGCTTCTTAACGATTACCACGAACATAGTGAGGACGATGTTACCTGGGGTGTCGCCTACAAGATCCCTTCGCATTGTGCAAAAGAGGTGAAGGATTATTTGGATCGTCGAGAAAGCGGTTACACAATAAAACTGCTCGACGTTTATCAAAAGGGTAAAACACAGCCAGTAATAAAACAAGTAAGTACAAAACGTCAATAACCAAAAAACGATCTCCGTAATATCAATCTATCTGTACATCGATCAACGGAATAACCAAATATTATCATGCAGGCCGTCTGTTACATCGCAACAACCCGAAATAGTGATTATTGTGGTCCCGCACCGATCGAAAAAATAACACATCAGATTTTCCACTCTCGAGGTATGCCATCATTGATCAAGATGATCTTTCGGCGTTCTGATTTCGTCTATATGCATATATACTCATAATAATTTTATATAGGGGCGAGTGGACCAAACATAGAATATGCTCTCAACCTTGCAAAATCTTTGAAAACCATCGCTCCCGACGCATTCGATCACCATCTATATGATTTGGAGAGACAATTATTGGAGCTCGGAGCTTCACATTCGAAGAGTAGTAGTAACCAGTTGTTGACTTACTTTAAAAATAGTGTATATAGAATAATATACGTTGGATTGTGCAATACAGCAACCGCATGTGAGAAACTTTTCAAAGACTTTAAAAAATCAATTAATAATTGTCGTATAGATTAGATATGATCATCAAATAGTGCGAAACTGAATAAACAACTTTAAGAGAACTGACTTTGACTTCTCCATTAGTATATAACTCTAAATAGTCTAAATTTGGAAGCTGATATATTTCAGCGATTACATTGGAAGAGCATATGCGCAATAATATTATGTCGCACTGCTTAACACACGGCACGATAACAGTTTTGCTTTCAAGCTTGCTTTATTTATTGCTTTGCACCCATCACACTTTTTTCTTTTTTTTTCACCACTCACTTTTCCCCCAACTCCCATATAATGTAAATTCCCTAAAGGGAATTCCAAAAATTTCTAATCCCACTGCAATGAGGCGCTCACACGGAAACCTTTAGTAAAAGGCGAAAGGTTTATTCGTTCTGCAAGCACCTCGTGGGTAAGGTGAAGAATCCGAGACTGGTGGGGAAGACCTGTATTTATAAGATCAAGGGGTTAAGGAGAAGATTGTGGGATGGATCTATATGATTGGCTACAGTTCTTGTAGAAACGTCATCCGTGCACGTGTACATTGCGCATTAGTATTACCTCATCTCTAGGGCTTGAAAACGTACTCCCCCCCCCCAGTCACATCCGTCTCTCGCTCACAGAGGAGACGCAGGATATAGCAAAAAGACATTTTTACTAATAGTAACCATGGCGAGACGATATGACGCACGGACAACTATATTTTCGCCGGAAGGTAAAAAATTTGCGAGTTTTTGCATCAGCAAACACGTTAAACCGATAACGCTGCAACCGTATCAACCCGATAGGTCGATTGTATCAGGTCGAGTATGCAATGGAAGCAATATCCCATGCAGGAACCGCTCTCGGTATCCTCGCCACAGATGGCATTGTCATTGCAGCCGAAAAGAAAGTGACTTCGAAATTGCTCGAGCAGTCTGTCACTTCTGAGAAAATCTATCTGTTAAACAGGTTGATAATATGTAGCATTTCTTTAGATCGTATATGATGTTTGGGCAAGTTGGCTTTTGTTTTTCGTACTTGTTATTAACTTTTTTGCAATTAATCACAGTAATGTCATATGTGGTGTAGCAGGGATTACAAGCGACGCAAATATACTGATCAACGTTGCAAGAAAATATGCTCAACAGTATTTATACAGTTTTGATGATGATATTCCAGTTGAGCAACTCGTTCAGCGGTTATGTGATTTGAAGCAAGGATACACTCAATATGGAGGTACTAAAAAAAAAAAGGTTCTCGTAAAAAAGATCGCATACTCGTCATTCATTTCTCATACACATTATTTCAAAAAGGTCTCCGTCCATTCGGTGTTTCATTCATTTATGCGGGATACGATAATTATTTCGGCTTTCAACTCTACCGTTCCGATCCGTCTGGTAATTATGGCGGATGGAAAGCAGCGTGTATTGGAGCCAACAACGCAGGCGCACAATCTTTGCTCAAGCAAGATTATAAGGATGATATCACTCTGAAGGAAGCAAAAGAATTGGCGGCTAAAGTGTTAAGCAAAACCATGGATTCAACAACGCTAAATAGCGAGAAACGTATGTATTATGTTGGGAGGCGTGAGGTGTGAGGCGTGAGGCGTGACGCGCGTGATGATGGGACAGGAGCAAATTCGTTTTGACAGAGTGATATGCTTAATCCGGATTTTATTGTTCTATACTAGTCGAGTTTGCTACGATTCAATTGAACGATGAGGGAAAAGTCGTTTATAATCTCTACAAACCGGACGAAATCGATGCGTTATTGAAAGAGCTTAATTTGGGTGGAAATAGCACTGAAGAAGAAGCGAGCTGAAGGAGAAGTGTATTGTTATATAGTATAAATTTCAATCTAAAAAAATGTTTCTTATTGGAAGATTTGTGATATATTTAACAATGATGACTTCACGATTAGTGAATCAAATAGAGCAAATCGTCATTACAAATAATGAAAATGTCGTATGTTGATTATCTTAGCAATGTTTTGACCATCTCCGTCGAATTTTTATTGGATGGGCCTGAATCACGTGTGGAATTGAAAAAATTTTTATTTTTTTTTTGATGTTGTCCACCTACTACTACTTGCGTAAACTGCTTCTATTCTATCAAGGTGAGTTTCACTCTAGTAGATCGTGTCCGTATTTCTTATCGTTTTATGATGAATAGCACTGGGTTAGCTTTGGGATCGGTGAGGACTCCTTTCACAAGGAGAGAACCCACCTCACCCCCCTTTGCAATGACATATAAACATGCATGGCTTGCTGAAATAACTTTGTCAATTACGTGTCTTGAACTTGTAAATATATTTCATATTAACACTGTTTTCTTGATTTCTACGAATACAGTTTCTTCGTCTCTGAATTGGTTATGAAGTCCCGAGGGTGATCAGCGAATGTGCAATTATATAGAATTACTTTTGTTTACAGCACAACTCTCTCGAACTCGTTACTTGTCTGAATATGATTATGATGCCTTTTTGCCCAAACCCAGCAGTACACCGTAATATCAGTAGAAATGTTGGCTGTTTGCACAACTTCTTTTTTATTCACCGGCATCAGCATATTATTAAGATTTCATAATTCTAATTGTTCTTAATTTAGGGAAAAATGGTGATTATTAATTGAGCGTATCAAGCACGAAGAATAAATTACTTTTTCTAATGTTTTAAAAGCGGGCACATATCGAGAGAAATAAATAGGGTGTTGATAATCCAATGATTATAGTGCAGTCGCAATACCCACTCCTAGTCCTGTACTTTCAAACAAGACTGGAATTGTATCGACAGCAAGGTATCCGATACCTACAAATTGAATTAGACATTCACGCCGTTAGACGGCACGTCATCATATTATCTTGTGCGCACAACTCTCTCCATCTCCCGAATTCCAACGTAAACTTACCAGAATAAACTATCAACTTGGTAACAACATCAACGTCGTATCGAATCGTTGTAACATTATTGAATAGACCCTTTTCCAATTTTTCTGCAAAATATTTTACATGGCTATTCCCGTCTATTGTACCGTTACTTTCACTCTTATTCTGCCTACGGTTTAGTCCCTGCTCCTTTTCCTTCTCGGCATCTAAATATTCGTATGGATCTGCCGTTGAATGTACATCAAACTCTTTGGTTGTTCGGGGAAGATCAAATACAGATGGGACCATGTGTGTCTTGCATTTACTTTGATCGTTTGGTGCGTGTGTGTGTGTGTGTGTGTGGGGGGGGGTAATGCAGATTAAAATGATTGTTAGACTATCAAACAAGTACTTAAACCCAAATTGAAATCAGTGATTTACCTTGCCGAAAGATTGTTCTTACAACATGGGAGATTAAGAGCACGATATAAAGGTGGTAACGTAATATAACATAACTTCTTCATTACGTATCTCCATAGAAATAATATCGCAATGCCTAACATAGCAATGAATGTTAATCAATCACGCGTAGACAAGAATTCCCATTTTCACTATTAATTCTCCCTGCTTTTCGTCTCGAAATATAAACACGAACCAATTAAAATTCTGGTGATTGTGACAACCGGTCCGACGATCTCATACTCATATGGAACGTTTCCTCTACCATACCCGATGTGGCTAAACTTCGATCTAGCAAATCGCCAGCTCCCAGATGTTAAACCCATCATAACACCAGCAAAGGCAAATCTGTGTATAATTCATAAAACTAATTATAGAAAGAGTAATATTGGCAAATATATAACAATAAAAGTATAAAAACGTACGCGTCGTCGAAGCATGGGCAATTATCGATTGGTTCAGGAAATATGTAAATGAGAAACAAAATAACTGAACTCATAATCATTGGAGCTAAAGTAACGATACATATGTGTTAGCAAAATTAAAAGTCTTTTTTAACGAAAAAAATGGGGACATATGAGGCTCACCCATCCAGCTACCGTCCAAGACAAAATCATCGAGATCTTGCTGCCAAGCCCATTGGAGCCACGACAATGTCACACCCATAACAATACCACCGGTGATATCTTCAAGGCAAAAAGAAGATACGATTATATGAGTGCCAACCTTGTTAACTGATCCCAAGTGACATATTCACACTATATCCTTTCAACGATGTCTCGGGAAATTTACTACTGTTCCCTTTTCACAATCTACCCGACCCGCATGTTCAGCCAGCGCTCTCTTCGCATTCCGCCCTCTCCGCATTCTGCCCTCTCCGCATTCCGCCCTCTTTGCATTCCCGTTATCTACCAATTAACCTACCAGTGAAACTATGCATCCCGCAATAGACCCTTCCGATAACCACGCTAAGGCAGTATATCGAGAATGCAGCAATCGAGATTATTTTTGTTTCGTATTCCAAGTCAGCAACGGGCAGTATAAAGGCAATAAAGTAGACAGTGACCGATACCGCATTTACGGAATGCGTGGACGGAAAGCCATATTCCAATTGATGTGAATTCGACATTGTCAATCGGCGAATTGGAGGAGACGGTGGGCGGGGAAGACAAAAGATGTCCTATAAAATACGAGTAGCACGTAAAAAAAGCGCATGTAAGCACGAAAAGAAAAAGGAATATTATAAGCTGTCTACGAAAAAGTAAGCTTACTTTGAATGCCCACTTGCGGAAATCATATGAATCGACGCTCTCAAGACTTGCCCCTCCGATTTATCTTACCTTTAGGAATCCTGAAAAGAATACTCCGGCTGCCAACATCGTGGTAAGTCTAACAAGAGTAGAGATAACCGACATTAGTTTCCTTGTCGTTTCGAGTCGAATGCATGCGTGTATTTATTTGTTGTAATCTTTTCCTCTCGCACATCTCTACTCATCCTTCCCCTCTCCACACTTACCCTCGACCCAATTGCGCATAACCAAACCAAAACAGAAGCGGCAAACACACCATAAAGAATGTGTGTGCTCCTAGATTCGACGAGTAGACAAAGTACAAATCGAGCCAGGGATGACGCCTCGACTGGAGTACGGACGATTGTGATAAAGAGGAATTCATTTAGACACTTGTAAGCATCTCACTCTAGCTAACCATGTTCTCAAGACCTGTTTCTCATCAACAAACCTGAATCCACATTAACAGATCCTTCTCTTTTGCGACGGCCGCTAACAACACGCGGCGAATTCTTGCCCCTATAGGCGACAATCTCTTCTCGTAATAGGGCTCTGGTCGTAATCCTGACTCGACAGGAGGGTTTGGGGTAAAAGCTTTTTCATTATCGTGCTTCATGTTTATTTTGTGCTCGAGAGAAGCCATTAGGGAAGAAGAGCCGAGTGCCTATATACAAAGTTGAGTTCGTCGCACACGGCAGAGTTGATAATCTAAAAGTAATACTGAATTCCAAACTTGGGATGTCGACGTGAACAAATAAGTTACATAAGATCTTTTCAATACCTTGTTAACTAAGGAATGTCCCAATTAAAACAAGATGGAAAGCAGATGGATTGTTCCTTGAGAGCATATTAATAGAATTTTAGCTTGACAACGGGTCTACGGTCAAATATAATATTAACGGCTAATCATTTAGCAGGTTGACCTATTTTAGAACGGATATTTATTAATTCCAAGCTCTGATACGATATAAATTCCAACTAGTATATCGTAATTTCGAATAATCAATGGCTTTTTAAAAGTCTGTTCTGCTGTAAACGGCATGTCGCTGATAGAATGTTATCATTATTATTGACCGACACGTTTTGCTGATCGGCCAAATTCAGGGACAACGTGCGTTTTATTGACAATTGGCATTTACACCAAATTGTATAAAATAGTATAGCCACTAAATCATGAAATTTTCTTATTAAAAATAACGTTAAAACAGCCTCTTCTCGGTCTGTCGAACAGCAGAGAGGGAAATCGCATGCCGAAATTATGATAAATCGTGTATTGACAGTTGCCATTCTAATTCAGTTTTACTGGTTACAAAGAATTCGTTGGTCTCTGACATCATATTTGTCGAGGAAAAGATTAGTGCCCATGCACGTAAACTTGTAAGAGAAAATTAAAGTTGTGGAAAGGAGAAATGGTTAGAACCCAGCCAATACGAAAAGAGCATTTAAAGGGCAAGGAAAAATAAATCCAAAGCACGCTCGTAGTTCAGATTGACAATCAGCCAATCATCAGTATGCTGTCAAATTATTGCAAACACTGTGTGTCAATTAATAGAAGCCTCTGTCACAGTCATTCGTGAAAGTCGCAGAGGGCATCTTCGCCATTTAATTGTTAGTCAGGGGATTGACCAGTTCCTGGTAGATATTTTTCTGAACAGGTCAGTAACCCTGGAATCCCAGATGAGCGCTAAAGCCCTTGTAACAAATTCAGGATTTCACCAATAATCCCGAAAATAAAACTAGACTTATTTAACGTACCGACTTTTATTAACATGCGTGCTTATTATTTGTTGGTTACTTCCTTGTAATATGTCGCAAGGGCGATTGCGATTCTAACACAAGTGTTATAATGGTGACTGAGTAGCAGAATAAAAAGTCTTCTTTGCGGCCTACAAGACTAGAAGACACCAATCTAAATTTCAGGCTATTACACCTACGTATCATATTGTATTCTCTAATTGGTTATGTTAGAAATTAGTTCTATAAAGCTTGGAAATAAAGTCTTACACCATTGAAATTAGTTCTACAACCAAAATGATATTTATCACCGATGCGCTTACTATAATCGATATGGCTAGTATATGAATCAAGCATAATGGCAGAATGGTCTTCTGTGGGTAATTATGTTAACCATAACAATCATGAACAGGCCCGCGTTTATTAACAGAGAGCATTGTTTCGTGGCTGCAAGTAAAAAGATCTGCACAATACTGCAACGAAGATTTCATTTTTCGTTCCATCACTACATATCGATATACAGCCGTCGATCCTATTTTAACGAGTTAATTTTGTGATGATTTGTACTTTTCTTGGCAACACGTGATAATGTTTACCGAGATGGATGAGAACTTTCTTATGGGAAAAATCGACCGTGCATAATCAATCATCAGAAGCATTTTTTCTTTGCTCGGGTTATTTCCGATTAAGGATGCATAATGGGCTATACGACTTTGCAGTGTTGTAATGACGCGCTCTAATGACATATGCTTTTATCTATTCTTGTGACATAGAGAGAGACGAAACACACAACGATGAAACGACATATACCCCCCTGGCATTAAATTGATATTTAACGCTGATGCTGAAACTAACCAATGGGATTAGAGAATATAATCTGATCGTGATCAATTGGCAAACCATTTCCGTTTTTCTTTTGTTGCCAACCAACCAATTAAAGATGCCCTTTTGTAACGTGGGAATTATCTGCTTATCATGCTGATTAAGGAACTATTGACATTTTGGTCTACAAGTTAACACTTGACCATACTATGTACTACTGTTGCAATTACGATTACTAGTCTTAAATATGATTAGCCGTCGTAAAGTCAAATGATGTAAATGATATTCAACGTCTGGCATCAGATGACCGACTCTGTATCATCCATATCGAACTTCACGTTACGATCATTCGAATCTCTCGAAGAGCAATGCACCATTGAATGAAGAGCCCTGACTTTTACCAGACGATGAGATAAATGACACTTCATGGTTGTTTATACCGAGTAATGGGGCAAATGAATGTTGGAGGCGTCCAAATATCGTCATCTGTTTGCATTTTTATAACAAGTCATTGTTGAGAAAACGCATTTGTTTGTCATTATTGTACCTTTCTCATAACCATTACTAAGCTTTTGTGTATTTACAGACCGCGTTTGTCTCGCTCTTTTTGACAATCACCTCATCCTGCATCACCCGATCATTATGACGCTACAAAGGTGATACTTGTGTAATAAATATCCCTGGAAATGAATGTTGTGCGTGATCATTTATATCACTCACATATATATTTATATTTATTTATACATTGATAACATAATTAGCTCTATATGCTAGGCCTGAATGTCGTGACATATTACCAAATGCGTAGTTTAGTCAATAATACTAAACAACAAAAAACCTTTCAGATTCGCAATTCTATACTTTATTATTAAGCCTTGTTTAGCCTTGTGCCTTTGTATAAGAGCCAATGTACATTCTTGATATAAAGGCTGTAATTACTACCGAAGTAAACATGCTAATACCATCAGTTGTCACAGTTAATATGTAAAAATAAGACTAAATATAAATACACTTTATAGTGATAGTAAAAAGCCTTTTTAGTGGGCGTGTAAAGATGTTCCGGATTTGCCGTGTGTGGTACTATCTTTTTTTTTTTCCACCAAATTAGTAGTAGACTTCGGTAACAGACGTTTCTTCGAGGAAAGGGTTGTTGGCTATAGACAATATTCTGTGTGAAATGGATAATCGCATTCATTGCCATTTTGGGATGGTCAAGTGAACTGAACGGGGTTACAAATTAGTTTTGCATACATAAAAACAATACATAAAACATGTATATAAATATGACTCTCCACACCTTGCCAACGCTTTCAGTTCTCACGAACGGATTGAATATATAATTTAAAAAATAATAATGGCTAGTCTTGACGAACAAGCAGAGATGTCTACCAGCTCGTTTGACAAAAAGAAAGGCGTCCCGCCAACTATGGGAATCATATCAATGGAGGTGGGTTAACAATGCAGAGAATACGTAAAGAATGTGGAGAATCCGTAAAGAATGTGGAGAATCCGTAAAGAATGTGGATAAAACCATGCGAATTGAGAAGTTGTAGACATATTAGGCATTACGAGTGCCTACCGAACCTCAAGCTTTGACTAATTTGGTTTATCCTACGTTCTTAATTAGCCTCTTAATAAACAAATCTTGCAACCATCGTATGCAAACGAACTTCCACTTAACGATACTCAGCACGGTTTTTACGGATCAATGATTAATGTACGGAAATATTCATTTTCAAATGGGCAAATTGATCAATTATATAATTCGTCCTACTGACAAATTGCTATCAACAGGTTCTGGGAAACGTGTGTGGATTTTTTGGGGCGGTAAGCATGATACTAATATTCGAATTAGGATAATAATGGTCACTTTGTTTATAACTATCATGAAATTCATGCACTTTCTTCATCTGATTGTCTGCAGAATCCAATTTGTTGCTGCTGCCCTAATCCGTATAAACGAGTTGATCAGGGCTTCGTGGGTCTTGTCTCTAGATTCGGCAAGTTTTACAAGTCTGTTGATCCTGGATTGGTTAAAGTCAATCCATTATCAGAGAGTATTCGCAAAGTCGATGTCAAGGTAAATTACGAGAGATTTGTAGAGTACAATTATAAACGTTTGGTCACATTCTGTTGCTTTGTGTCATATTTATGATTTTACTCTTTGCTTTTACTGTAGATACAAATCACCGAAATCCCGAAACAAGCAATAATGACCAAGGATAATGTATACGTTCATATCGATTCCGTAATCTATTGGCATATTATCAATCCATACCAATCTACGTTTGGTATTGCTGATGTCCGTAAAGCTCTCATTGAACGGTGAGTACGAGAGAGAGAGTGTGTGTGAGAGATAAATTGTGAGAATATGTGACCTATCGACAACCGTACAAGAGGCTGAGTTGTGTAAAACTCGAAAACTTATGATCAGCTTGGTTTCTCAAAAGTTAATTTCCACATTATTATTCATCTACAGGACCCAAACAACTTTGAGACACACACTTGGCTCGAGAGTTTTACAAGATTGTATTGAAAATCGCGAAGCCATTGCATCTGAAGTGTTGGAAATTATCGAAGAACCTGCGAGTCTCTGGGGAGTGAAAGTAAGGAGAGCTCCGCATATAAATTATATTAGTCACTAATATGTCGTTCTTTTTGAATTATACTGACATGTCCATCCACCTACTTACTGCCTTATCAGATCGAAAGCATCTTGATCAAAGACATACAATTCTCAAAGGAACTCCAAGAATCACTTTCTTCGGCTGCACAAGCACAGCGTATCGGACGATCTAAAGTCATTGCTGCTCAGGCTGAAGGTTAGATACAAAATTATACTATTTAGTCATTGTACATGGCCCTGTCAACAGTCCCAATAACCGTTTACTTTCATAATCCCTATACAGTTGACGCAGCGAAATTAATGAGACAAGCAGCAGAATTACTCAACATTCCTGCCGCTATGGTATGCATATCCTACTGAATCTCATACATACAGAGTCCGTTCTATTTCTTTGGCGACTTGCGTGCTCATTTTTGCCTCTTTTTTTTTTTTGTAGCAAATTCGTTACTTGGAAACTATGT